AATATGACACACTTCTCTTTCGAAATACACAGCTCCCAAATGAATTGTTTATACACTTTTCCCGCGCGAGCCTGTACAGTCCTCAAATGCAACTAAACATTCCTCGTGTGAACATTGTATACGTCCCATGCAACAGCTACAACGTTTTCATACGAAACATAATAACAGCTCTCGGTTGAAAATTGTCCACAGTTCTCATACGATAGCCATCGAGCTCCAGCATGGAAGCTGGACGTTTCTCATGAGAAGTATTGAATTCCCATGTGGGACAACATAACTTGGTACGACGTTTAACTCTTATACTTCTATTGCTTCCAATAACACATGTTGACAGACAAGGCTCCAAGAGTGTAAGTTGGCCCTTGAATCGTTACAAAACGTTTCACCATCATAATCCTAGCGTAATTTTCAAAATTGCGGAAAGTCAGTGGTACCAGTCGGTTTCTCGGCCGGTTGGGATGTGTGTCAGTTGGTTGGGGTTTGCACCAGTGGGTTGCGATTGGTCCGTCATGCGTAGGCCCCATGTGGTTGGGGATTCAGGGGGATACAGCAGGTTCGTGTCGGGACGACCCCAGCGTTGTGTTGTGGCTTTGCGTGGAGTGGACCGTTCAAACTTGAACGATCCGCGGCTTTGCCATCGCCATATCGTTCCATATTGGCAGATTCTTAACCACTGGCGGCGTTCAACCTTGAACGCCCGCGGCGGTTTCGCTGGCGCGTCGGCACGACACGAATTTACCGTACAAGCATTGGAAGATCTTCTGGCCGCCCTGGGGCGTGCTTCGGGCCGTGCGTAAAGAATTGGTGTTCCATGTTTGGGGTCTCTCAAGGCATTAGCTCCCTCTTTTTGGGGGTTCTTAGGATCTGTGAGCGAGGGCATCTCGGGGACATTTTCAGGCGGCATGTACCGGCACATCTTGCACCTTCCCATCTACATCCCGCATGTATAGCCGGGGGCTTCTAAACGGTGTGGTGACCATACCGCGTGGTGAGTCATTGGGGATTCAGGGTCACCGCGCGGCTTGGGGAATCGGGTCGTTCTCCGAGGACGTCTCGTGCGATCGGTGCCTCCAGGGTCGCAAAACCGTGAGGTGACGGCTCGAGCTGTGAGGTCGTTGGGGATTCAGAGGTCACGAGATGTGCATGACCACGATCAATAACATGCCGACGTGAGGAACCCATCAGCGTTCTTATTGAAGAAGCGTCATACTTTCGAATAACTAATGACAGCGTGTCATTCTCCAATCAATGTTTACACTGAAGGGGTCCCAGCGGACATAGAAGAGATTGGCGAAAGTAGCCGGCCGATTTCGGCGGGCGGGTCTCGGTGGGTTGCTATCGGTGGGCCCACCCTTCTCTCTCTCTCGTTTCTTTCTCTCTCTTTTGCTGATGCTGATGATTTTTCCGGGCCGTTGTGGGGACGTGTTGTGGCCCTTTGAGTCGTCGAGGGGCCCTCTCAGGCCGTCGAGGGTAACCCCAGGAAGCATTTAAGAACCCCCCCCTTCCGGTGAAACGATAACGCTTCCGGCACCTTGGAAGCGTTACCTCGTCACCAGGAGGCGCCCCTTGGATTCCAATGGGGTCCAAATCGGCGCATGTGATGGCAAGACCCCCGTTCGTCGTCGTCGTCGCCGCCGCCGTCGTCGTTTTCGTCGGCGTCGGCGTCGGCGTCGTGGAGTCCTGTTGGAGATCCGATTGTATTCGAATCCAGTTGGACTCCTATAGGAGTCATAGTGTATTGGAATCCGATTGGTATCCTATTGGAATCCTGATGGAACTCCCGCTGTACTGGAATCTGATTCAAACCAGATTCCAATAGGACCCGAAAATAACAACACAGTAGGATTCCAACGGGATTCCGATAGGTTTCTAACTGGATCCAATTAGGATTCCAATACAATGCAATACAGTAGGATTCCAATAGGACCCCAATAGTATTCCAATAGGATTTCAATGGGAGTCCAATGTGATTGCAATGAGGTTCCACCAGGATTCCAATAGGACTTCAATACAGTCCTATAGGTTTCGAGCAGGATTCTTTCCGGATTCCAACAACTACTATAGGATTTCAATAGGAGCCCCACACAACAGGATTCCTATAGGATTCCAGTTGGTCTCCAGTGCAATCTGACTTCAATCGGATTTAAATAGGATCCCAATATGAGTTTAATTCGCTAGGATTCCGACAGGATGCCAATGATATTTCAATAATATCCCAATATAATGTGAATCCAAAATAATCCCAATATAGGATTCCAAAAGGATCCCAATGATATCCCAATAGGATTCCAATACAATAGGATTCCAAAAGGGTCCCAATATAGAATGTCAACAGGATTCCAACACAGTAGGATCCCAATACGTAGGATTCCAATAAGAACGCAAACACATTCCAATTATATTCCAATGCAACAGGATTCCAATTGGATCCAATTGGATTTCAACAGGGTTCCAATAGCATTTTAATACAATCTGACCCAGTCGTGCGCCAATCGGATTCTTATTTGCATCATTTTTTCCGTGGCCTTTTCGGACTATTACTCCTATTGGTATCCCTTTTTCGTCGTATCAGTTGAGTGGGGGGGGCGTTGGCATTAATTATTTTCTGTGCGCGCGCGGTGCTAAGATATCTCTCCGTGCGGGGTGGAGCCGACATCCTCGGATGGACTTCCCTGCATGACGGCCGAGGCATCTAAACCTTTGCATCGGGGCAACAATGTAAAATTGATAGGTTCAAGGCGTACGGCAGTTTTCCAAGTGTATGCATTAAATATGATCCCAATAGGATGCATGATCCCAATATGGTACCATCATCATGGGATCCTAATAGGACTTTAACAGGCGACCAATCGGATTCCAATACAACAGGACCCCAAAAGGACTCCTAGCTAGGATTGCAATAGGATGCCAATACGATCGGATTCCAATTGGATTCCAACAGGAATCCAGTAATATGCAAATTGGATTTCAATAAAACAAGATTCCAATAGGATCTCAATCGGCTTCCATTGGGACTCCAATTGCATTCGAACGCACACGCATTCCAGTAGGATCAAAGGAGTCTCATTCGCATCATTATTCTTATCCGCTGTCTTTTCAGATGGTCATTCGTATAGTGTATGTCGTACGTAGTACTATCGGATGGGGGGGCACCGGGATTTTTTTTGTGCGCGCGCGGTGCTAAGATATCGTTCCGTGCGGAGTGGGGGCGATATCCTTGGATGGACCTCCCTGTGCGACGGCCGGGAAATCAAAATCTTCGCATAGGAGCAATAATATGCAATTGCTAAGTTCAAGGCGTACGGCAGTTTTCTAAGTATCATTGTTTGTCTTCCCGTTCGTATTTGTGTGATTGCCCGTATTCTTATTATTCTTCTTTTTATTATTATTATTCGTAGTAGTGGTATTATTATTCACGTTTCGATGCTTGACATTGTTTCGATTAGTGTGTTTACCAGCCGTGTTCTTATCAGTATTGTCGTATAGTATGATTATTCGCGTTCGTATCCTACCGAATTCAAATCGGACGCCTCCAGATTCCAATGGGAATTCTACCCGAACCCGGGGTCGGGAATTTATGATTCCCAACCATCCTGTGGTGTTGGGTCCTCGTGTTGAAGAGACAGCGCCCCGCGTTCCCACTCCTCCCTCCTCCTCCCCCTCCTCCCTCCTCCCCCTCCTGGCCTCTGCCCTCCGCATCTTATTGTGACGGCACATCCAGTACAGCGTTTCGTGGCCACACAGGGAGCTCCACCGAAGGCCCCAGTGGCTGCGTTCGCTTGCGCCCGCCGCACCCATTTCGGCACACCCCTCACACGTTTCGTGGCCCCACAGGGAGCTCCACCGAAGGCCCCAGTGGCTGCGTTCGCATGCGCCCGCCGCACCCATTTCGGCACACCCCTCACACGTTTCGTGGCCCCACAGGGAGCTCCACCGAAGGCCCCAGTGGCTGCGTTCGCATGCGCCCGCCGCACCCATTTCGGCACACCCCTCACACGTTTCGTGGCCCCACAGGGAGCTCCACCGAAGGCCCCAGTGGCTGCGTTCGCATGCGCCCGCCGCACCCATTTCGGCACACCCCTCACACGTTTCGTGGCCCCACAGGGAGGTCCACCGAAGGCCCCAGTGGCTGCGTTCGCATGCGCCCGCCGCCCCGGCACACCCCTCACACGTGTCGTGGCCCCACAGGGAGCTCCACCGAAGGCCCCAGTGGCTGCGTTCGCATGCGCCCGCCGCACCCATTTCGGCACACCCCTCACACGTTTCGTGGCCCCACAGGGAGCTTCACCGAAGGCCCCAGTGCCTGCGTTCGCATGCGCCCGCCGCACCCATTCAGGCACACCCCTCACACGTTTCGTGGCCCCACTGGGAGCTCCCTCTCATTTGTCTAACCTGGTTTGCGGCACCTGCAAATGCATATGGTTTGGCCCTTCGCCTGGATAATTTATTCAAATTGCGCGGTGCTACAGAGATCGTTCCGCGAAAATGCCCACGTGGACTATTGCATCACATTGCGGTGCTAAGATAACCCCGGTGGGGTTCTCAAATGCTTCGTCCTCCAGAGGCCCGCCTGGGTCATCTTGGGCCAATCGTGCGCCGTCCGTCGACAATCTTGGAGACCTCCTAGGCCATGTTGAGCCGATGGAGGCCCGCAATGGCGAGGATGCCACAACCCTGCCAACACGCAAGGGCAGTCAATGAGTTAGCCTCTTAGGGCCCTCTTGCCAAATTGCGGCCGGGCATGGTGCTTGCAAAACGTTCGGACCATCCTCTGATTGGGTTTTTCTCTGGTGTAATTGGTATCCTTTCTCCCTGCTGGCACGACGAGGACGAGGGGGGGATCCACCGCATGGATGCGGAGGAGGAGGAGGGGGAGGTGGGCGGAGGAGGAGGGATGGCGGAGGGAGGGCCGAGGGAGGAGGAGGAGGAGGAGGAGGGCGAGGAGGAGGAGGAGGAGGGCGAGGACGCGGACGAGGGAGAGCCGTCATTGCATCCCAGAGGAAATTCACCGCATGGAGCTGCGCCTGGAGCAGCTCAAGCGAAAGCAGGAGCGCCAGCCCAGGGATTCTTTGCGTCCTTTGGCTTTCGTGTGCTCTCCCTCCCTCTGCATTCCTCCCTCCCTCTCCCTCTTTCCCTCTGTCTCCTGCACTGTCTGCTGTCTGGAATTCGGTATGGTTTTGCATATCAGTACCATTATCTTTTATTCAATCGCTTCGCTCATTCCGCCAGCCCATGTTGCATGATCGCTAGAGCTTCGCCGTGGGCCCGGGGCCATTTTGGCGCCGCCGAGGAGGAGGAGGAGGAGGAGGAGGAGGAGGAGGAGGAGGAGGAGGAGGAAGATGAGGATTTGGGAAGCGGAGGGGAGGAGGAGGAGAGGATGAGAAGGAGAGGAGGAGGATGAAGAGATGTAGGAGGAGGAGGAGGAGGAGGAAGAGGAGGAGGAGGAGGAAGGGGAAGGAGAAGGGGAAGGGGCGGAGGAGGAAGCCTCTCGTTTGCATCTTGTGTTGCTCTTGGTTCCAGACAGGGTCGTCGTCAAGATGCTTCTTTGGGAGGCCTCTTGGGGTCTTTTGAGAAGCCATTCATGGGCGCCTGGGAGGCATTTTTGAACTTCTGGGGCCTCTTGGGGCCTCTTTGGGGCCTCCTGGGGGCCTCCTGGGGCCTCTTGTGGGCCTCTTGGCGGCATCTTGGGGCCTCTTGGGGGCGGGGCCCTCTTGGGGCGGAAGGCTCGAGTTTTCGATTCGTGGTCCCCCTCTTGGGCCTCTTGGGGCCGTCTTGGGCGCCTCTTGGGCCGTCTCGGGGCCCTCGTGGGGCCCTCTTGGAAGCCTCTTGGCCCGTCTTGGGGCGCTCTTGGGGGCCTCTTGGGCCGTCTTGGAGCATCGGATGGCCTGTCGGGCCCTCTTGTGAGGCCTCTTGGAGGCCACTTGGAGGCCTCTTGGGCCGTCTTGGGGTCGTCGGCGTCTCGGAGCGCTTTTTGGGCATCTCGGGTGCCTCTTAGACCGTCTGGGAGACCTCTTGGGGCCCTCTGAGACTGATTTGGAGCCCTCTGGGGCTCCGAAAAAGAGTTCCGGCATTCTTGAACAGACCTTGCCGGGACCTTGCCGGGAGTCTGCTGGGGTACTTTTCGTCCGGGGACCCCCAGGGCCCGCCCCGCGCGCGCGAACTAGAAAGATTGTTCGCCAGGTACAGGAGATCTTAGCACGCCTCTGGCCCGTTGGGCCGGCGATTTTTTTTTTTTTTTTTTTGTTCTCTCTCTCTCTCTCTCTCTCTATTTGTTCTCTCTTTTTCTCTCTCGTCCCTCTCTGTCTGTAAACATCCGTAATCTAGCGGCAGAGGCTTCATGAATTCTGCGCTTGTAAAGAATCTACCATTCGTTGCCCTTGGTGGCGCGCGGGGGCACCCCGAGCCGCTCGCGCTACTGGCCGTGCGTCCAGAAGGGCGTGCCGCTGGGCCGTTTTTTTGTATGGCGTTTGTTGCTCTTGCTCGTATCCGTGGTGCTCGCTTTTGCGATCTTATGGTGATTATTTCCAGTCGGTCTTGTTTTCTCGAAGCAGAAGAAGCGGCACAAAAATGACTTTACGATGGTCGGCACGGATTCTGCTGATTTGCATTCGACCGCCCTGGTGGCGCCTCTTGCGCGTTTCGCGCGCGAGGGTTGGGGTGGGGTCCCGCGCCGCCGATCCGTGAAATCCTCGCGGATTGCCGAGAGTTGTTCCCCGATCTTCTTCTCATGTGTCATTCGTATGAGTTTTCTTCTCACTCTCTCAGAGGAGGAAAACTTACCAATACCGCTACTCTTCCCTCGTTCTCCCCTCTTGGGGGCTCCTGGGGGGGCTTCTTCGCCACCGCTAGATTCGCCTCGAAATCCTGATCAGAGCGCACCCCGAGAGAGGTCCAGGGAGTAGCAGTCTTGATATCCTTCGGTCTCCCCACTGTCTCCCTCCCACCCATCCAGCCGTGGCTGGCAGCCGGAGGCTGGCCTTCACGAGGCATTGATGCACACCAGAGCAGCGCCGATGGTTTGCTCCGCAGACCTCGCAGCAGCGCGGGCCCAAATGAATTTGCCTGGACGAGATACCTCCGAGATGGGAATTGATCCCTGACCACCGGCTGTGGGATCGGTCTTCGGGGACCTCGGCTGGCGGTGGATGGGGATATTTTCTGGCCCGTGGAGGGCCAGCTACATCCATTTCCACAGCCTGCCGAGGTCCCCGAATCTTGATCCACGGAGGGTATTTTGGGATGAGTCCCCGCCTCGCAATACCCAGCTCGAATTGGAAGCAGCTGGAGGTCCGCGCGGATTCCTTCGGTCGGCGCTGGGCCCCGCTTCCAGTGCACTCGGGACGCGCCAGAGGCGACGCCGGAAGCGGTCAAGTCCTCTCTCTCATTGGAAAGAGGTGTCAGTCATCGGAGAACGGTTCACGGCTATGGAATGTCTCCAGGTGTATTTTGGATATTGGTATGTTCTTACAGTGGGAGCAAACGCACGGTTGCGGTGTTCCCCAGTGCAGGAGCAGATGATAATGGAGATGGAGAGAGCCATCAACAAACGCGATGCCATCCAGCTCAAGTATGAGCCGAAGGCGAAGAAGACCAAGCAGGTGGCTCATGGTGGGGGCGTGACTTGAATTGTGGCGATATATGCAAACAGAATATTGGGGCATGAGGCCGCTCTTGGATTCAGCAGCGTTAGGAGTGGTCGGGGTGAAACATGGACGTTGCAGGTTGGAGCGAGGAGAAGGAGGATGGGACGAGGCAGAAAGAAAAATGATGACTACAATGAACATTCTTAGCCGGCGTGGACCCCCCATCAGTGCGTTATTGCATTGTGGGCTGAAGTATATGCGGTCTATGTGGTGCAAGCTATGCGGCGTGAGCTGAAGGTGAAAAGCTATGGATGTGAAAAAGCTATGCGATGTGAGCTATATGGTCTAAGTTACATCTTGAAAGCCATGCGGCGTGAGCTGAAGGTCAAAGCTATGAGGTGTGAGATCTGTGAAGGTACGTTATGCTGCGCAAGCTCACAGCGCGAGGCGCCCACGAGGCGGCATGGGCGGCAATGTGGCACAACCCCGACATACCCCCCAAGCGCAGGACGCCCACGATGCGCTCAAGAGGCGGCACAGGTGGCAACGCAGCGAAAGCCCGTCATACCCTCCAACCGCCGGGCGGCCATGAGTCGGCACGGGCGGCAACGTGGCGCAAATTCGACATATTCCCGAAGCGTGGGGCATCCACGATGCGCCCACGAGGCGGCACGGGCGGCAACGTAGCGAACGCACGACATATTCCCAAGCGCGGGGCTCACACGAGGCGGCGCGGGCGGCAACGTTGCGAAATCCACCACACAGATACACAGACACACACATACACACTTACGCACGCGCGCACGCACTTACGCACGCACGCACGCACGCATGCACACCATCACACTCACATATACGCACACACACACACAAACCAAGCGCGGGGCGCCCACGAGGCGGCACGGGCAGCAGCGTGGCGAAAGCACGGCATGCCCAACCAATTGCCTACGACAGCCCAGTAACAACCCCTAAGTGCAAGCAGCGAATGGGAAAATGGAGAAGTAACCAAGGACACGGAGGAAGATGATGATGAGGAGGATGAAGACGACGAGGGGAAGTTGACGTTTTGACGCTTCGCGTGTCCCCTACCAGCCCATCCACAGTCGAGGCCCAGGCGAGTTGCTTTGATCAGGGAAGCGGAGGAGCATGCAGTGGATCAATAGTTGGGGAAGCTGTCAACCTGAGGTCTTGGATCAGCCTGCGCAGACCCAGGAGCGAACCGTATGCGCCTTCGCGGACATGCAGAATTAGGAACGGCGGGGAAGAAGGACGAGGGGGATGAGTTCAGAAGAGAGGAGGAGGAGAAGGAGAAGGAAGGGGACTGGAGGAGAAGTAGGCGCATGAAGGTTAAGAGTAAGAGTGAGAGTCCCAGGGTAGTGTCCAAATCTCTGACACCTTCAAATCGGGAGCTCCTTCTTTGCTCTCTCTTTATCATAGCCTTCTGAGTCCGACTGTAGACTTTAATCCACAACGAACCTTCGATTCTGTTCAAGCAAACAGCTGGGGTGGCCTTGTACACACATTGCTGACCTAACCCCAAGTGCTGCTGGTCCGCAAACATTCCACACACGGCACAAACCTAGGCATCGACATTTTGATGATATCTCATCTTGTCATACCCGTGCACCCCCCCCCCCCCCCAGCGATGTGCACATCCACCCCCTGGGGCAGGTGGTTCCCAAGGAGCCGTCTAGAGCCACGAGTTGGAAACACTGGGATGCTCGCCGGTGCCGACATTCGGAGATCGACGAAGAGCTCCGACACCTGCGGTACCGACGCCCCGATTTGTCAAGCGCATGGCTGCTGGCCAGGACCGACACAGCTTCGGGGCACGGCGGAGGCCAGGCAGGCTGGACAGGCAGAAGGGGAGGAGGAGTGGGAGGAGACGAGGACCCCCTACTTGGAGTACCCTGACTCAGAACCTTTCCCTCCGTGCCACTCTGCCACTGCTGCCGCGCGAGAGCCTCCTCCGCGGCCATCGCGTCGATGGCTACCCACAGCAGCCGCAGCCGCACAAGTAACGCACGATGCTTGACCTGACCCATTCGACAACGGTTTCCTGCTGGGACAGGCGGGCCGCACCGGCCGCACCGCCTGCCACGACATCAGCCATGGCGTTCCCATCGACGAGCCAGCTCGAGATGTTCGTCTCCACTGCCGCCTCTGTATCAAGGTGACTGTTGACAAGCAGGACGATGAAATGTTGAGGCAGTCTGCATGGCCTCGTCGACTCGGGCCCACAACTCGGCCAACTACCCACTTGGGGTCAAACAATTCTGATCGTACCATCCGTCAAACACCATCTGGTCGTCGTTAACGTACACTGCGCGATCTTTGGTCAATCGTACAGCCATCCACAACATATAAAGCTCTCCTCTTGGCACTGTTTGATGTCCTGGGAGGGGCCCCGTCACAAACTGTGAATGGACAGATCGCTTTCGTTGGACACACAAACAAGACCACAACCGACACGACGGACGCGAGGGTTCTTCGAGTCGGGGCCGCCACACGCATCCCCAAACATGACCACTGGCTGCGCCTGAGAGCCTGGCCCGAGGACACTTTCATTGACGCCGTTGAATAGGGCTCCGCTGCTAATTACGCCCGGCCCCCTGATCAGGTGGAGGTGTGACTGCTGTCCACGCAATTGAGGCGAGCCCCCGTAACCAGACCACCTGATCCGATTCGTGCTGTGAGAGGGCCGCTGGCAGAATCTCATCTGGTGGCCGATGTGCCTCTACAGCCGTGTTCTTCTCGCAAGTCCAGCTGCGATGGCACGGTGTCCCGACGTGGCCGCGGCAACGAGGGCACAGCTGGCATGCCTGCACATTCGTGGAAGCCGCCGTTCGGCGCTCTCGGGGCCACGATCCCCCCGCACAGATGGAGACCACGACCTCTGCCAGACGCCGACCCCGAGGCAACGCCTCGAGATGGCGAGGCAGCCACTGCAAGGAAATGTTGTCCACGCCATATTGCAGCCCGCGGCCACAAGCATGCGTAGACGCCTTCTGCAAATGCGCCGCCTCGGCCGACTTGTCAAAATCTGTGAAAAAATGCGTGCGTGATATTCAAAGCCATCCGATCATGATAGTGCCACATGAAATCACCCGAGAGGTGCCGCTTGGTGGGGGGCTCGGGCTGCCACCCGCTCTCGAGCAGCGTGAGAATGGTGGCAGGCGTAGGTCTCCGAGCCCACTTGGATCCCCTCGACGACGGCATGGACTCCCGATGACTACATATGCGGTGGCCCCACGCCAAAGAGCCAAATATGAGACTCGTCTTAACCATGGCTGGTCCGGACAGCGTTAGGCTAAACTTGAGTTGTGGCGTCTGTGTCACACGCCGTGAGCGCAGGGCCTGGGAAACCCTGGACATACTATCACGCCGTCTACCGCATTACCTGGCAAGTTGAATGATGAAGTCGAAAGCGACCTCACGTTCTACAACCATGAACATAGGGCATTTTACATAATCGGCCGTTGCTTTCGATGCGGTGTTGGACTCGAGATACACTATACAATTATGACCAGCATCGTAGATGCGCGACGTCAGTGCTCGATGCAACTCTAACGGAGAAGGTGCTTTCAATGATGACACCGTAAAGGCAGTCCTGTAGGCAAAGGGCGCTGAGCTGAGGATGCGTGCGCGTGGACAACACGCAACGACTATTGCGCACACCTATCTCACGCCATGAAGGGCTGAACTCAAGAGGTTAGAGATACCACCTGTGTTCACCCGGCTATTGCATGAGGCTCTGCTTGCCGCCAATGCGCTTACCTTCCTTAATGAGGCATCTCCATGCAATGCACTGTTTGGCCGACAATTTGCGATGTAATCGGACTCGCTTGTTCTAGACCACGAGCAACAGACGGAAGCATCCGGTCGTGCTCGTGGACAGATTATCCGCATGGTAAGCATTGAGGCGATCGCCCAAACCACCGCAATAGCTAACACGAGCCGCGCACTACTGACCAAGACGACCATCACTGGTCAGCACTATTAGGACGAAGGAGATCTGGTTTGCGACCATCGCCCCACAATCTCGAAAGACGTCTGTGGTGGCTGGAATGGATCCTTCCCGGTCACGCGGAATGACCCCGACATGGAGCCAAACTATCATGGGAGTTGGGAGCCGCGATGTACGCATCCAACACGGTGACGCACGACTTTCGCCGTGCATTGAAGCTCTGGTCGCTCGAGAGATTAGCTCGGACAACGCAGCATTGCGATGTGCGTCACCATGTATAGCCGGTCTACCTGCGAGGCGACCTGCCCTGACCTTTGGATGCCTCCCGACCGAAAAGGGGGCGCTCGAAATGGCGAGTGTGATCCGGCTATCTTCTAAGGTACGCTTAGCTCTTCAGTGCCTCATCAGGAACTTCTCCCGCATTGAAAGCGTAGTTTCTGTTGGGTTGGCCAAGAGCACTCACGAGCTACCTCCGGCGACGTATGTTGACAGTTGTGCATTGCGGGGGTCCCCAGACTTTTTGCGGCGACCACGCCGTGCGCGGTGAGTCGGCGGGGATTCGGGGTCACCGCGCGGTTTTGGGACCCGGGTCGTTCTCCGAGGACGTCTCGGGCGGCAGGTGCCTCCGGGATCCCGAGACCGCGCGGTGACGGACCGCGCGGTGAGGTCTTGGGGGGGTTCGAGGTCACCGCGCGGTCTGTCACCGCACCGTTTCGGGACTTCAAAACATTGGTGCGCTATGACAACGACGTGAACCCAGGCTTCCACTACCACGAATCCGAAGGCACTGCCTTGAACATTCAAGGCGCAAGTGGATCAGCACCTTCAAGATTACCCAGCGCCTGGGCCCCACCAAATCTCACGCGGGCCCCGATCAAGACATGACGAAGTTCGGAGAACAGACCGACATGCCAGCGCAATGCAATGACGCCAGGGAGGCCCCAGAAGTCGAACCACAACAGGAAGGCGGCCAGCTTCCCGCCACCCATGAAGATACTGGGGCGGGCTTCGAGGCGCACATCATGCATGTCTGGCATCAGAACCGCAA